AAAAAAAAACACAAACTCTCATCATCTTTCTGGTTTCATTATGCCTGCAATCATGATTCTTGGTCTCATAACCCCCGCATGCTCTTTCTCTCTATCCTCCAAAATCTCATCTATAAATACAACTTCTCTCCCACTAATCACCACTACCTCTTCTCTCTCTACACACATTTCCTCTGCTCTCTTCTTGCAACTTCCTCTGTTCCTACACTTTCATATTTTATATGCAATGGCAGTGTCTGGTTTCGAGGGATTCGAGAAAAGACTCGAGCTTCGATTCTTCGACGACACCCAAATCACCAACAATAACCCCATGGGACTCCGTCTAATCGACTTCGAATCACTAGACCAAGTCTTGAACCAAGTGCAGTGCACGGTGGTCTCCGCCGTAGCTAACCGTAGCTTCGACGCTTACGTGCTCTCCGAGTCAAGCCTATTCGTCTATCCAACCAAAATCATCATCAAAACATGCGGCACCACGCAACTCCTCAAATCAATCCGACCCTTGATCCATCTCGCGCGTAATCTCAACCTCACGTTACGCGCGTGTCGCTACTCGCGAGGCAGCTTCATCTTCCCAAACTCTCAGCCTTTCCCTTACACGAGCTTCAAAGACGAAGTAGTCGTTGTCGAAGATTCCCTCCCGAAATCTCTCCGTTACCGTAAAGCCTCCGTCATAACGCCTTCTTCCTCCTCCTCACGTGATTGGCACGTGTTCACCGCGAGCGTTGACGTGGAGTCCGACGAGCCGGTCGTAGTAGTCGAAGTATGCATGACGGAGCTTGACCGAGTCAACGCTCGGAGCTTCTTCAGACGGAAAGGCGACGACAAAAACAGTGATTCCGCCGGGAAAGAGATGACGAGGCTGAGCGGTATCGATATGATAAACGCAAACGCGTTTATATGCGATTTCGCGTTTGATCCTTGCGGTTACTCGATGAACGGCGTCGACGGAGAACGTTACTCGACCATCCACGTCACGCCTGAAGACGGTTTTAGCTACGCTAGCTTCGAGTGCGGTTTGTCTCTCTACGACGACGGTCACTTAGACGTCTCCGAGGTTTTAAGCCGAGCAATCGATGTTTTCCGACCAGGTTCTGTCTCGATCGCCACCACTTACGGCGGCGAGGATTATAACCACGAGGTTTCGAAGCGCGTGGAGCGCGTGTTGGCTAAGAAGCTCGGTCTTAAGTGTAGGAGCCGACTTATGGATGAGTTTCCAGGCTCCGGAACCGTCGTTTATCAGTCTTTCACGCCTCGCCGGAAATAGTCATTCGCCGGAGGAGGAGGGAAATAAAGGGTTTTAGGTTTTAAATTAGCTGAGAGGAGTGGAAAAGGGAGGTGATGACGTGGAGGGATATGATTGGTTGATTTGGCTAAGAATATATAAGTGGAAACATATGATCATGCACCCCACTTTGCACTTGTGGCAATGTCACGCCTAAGCATTTTTGAGGTTCAGTATCGTAGAATTTTAGTGGGGGAGGGTAAAAAAATG